GATCGCTGAATATACTTGCCATACATATAACTTATCAAACTGCACATCGAGATGTTACATGATGAACGCTGAAAGAAGACTGCATCTCGGCGAAAGCCTGGTATCGTTGAAGACGTTTGCGTTGGGCTTAGGATGAGAACCCATCGCGAATTTCCAAGAAGCGCTGGTATCGGTTCCTTGTCCAGCGACGAGAATTTTTGCCCCAAATCATCATGGGTACAGTTGTCATGATGAAAACAAATGCCAATACTCCTATTGCAACAAACGTGTTCCGAACACCGCTCGCCTCGATCCAGTCCGAAGCTGTGAAGGTGAAGACGAGTGCAATTGAGTTGTTGATCGTTGCGACGCCTACCATGCCCTCCAAGACCATGTCCGGATAGGCGTCCATCAGATAGGCCATGCTCAGATCACCACAACAGCCCCATCCAAAGCCGATGAACCCCAGGCCAACATACGGCGCAGGCCAGGACCATCCGTAGCTGGTCCCAATTCCAAACAGCCACAGGCCAGTCGGGAATATGGCCGCACACGGATACATGAGCCATAGTCGATGTTCTGCTTCGCTGACACCTCCGTTTCTCCTGGCCATCCATAACATGAACTGGTCACTGAGCCATCCACCATATGTGGCTCCAATGACGGCGCCAATCAAACAGGGCACGTTCATCAACTTGGGGAAGTTAGCAAAAGCGCCATACTCTCATGGGAACACCAGTAGACTCACCCCATCAGCGGCATCGCTGTAGTTCCACGGTGGACCATACCAGTTGTCTTCCTCGACGGTCAGATAAAAAGTGAGCCAGGCGTCTTGGGCTCCCCACTGCAACCCAGAGTATATAACCGCAGGGAACGTAAAGATGCGCAGAGTGTGGAAGAGACGCTGGAAATATTGCTTGAAGCCAAATCCGCGTAGATTCGGCGCGGGAGTAATAATGGCAATGCGTCGCCAATATGGCTTGGGGCGGTCCTCGGCCGCAAGTCGCTCTTCTGCAACAGAAGCGTGACGACCAGACACCGCTGGAGGCTCGGGTTGACCAGCAACTTTCTCCTTCTCCGGTTGTTCCGCCTCCAAACCTGCAGAATTGTCGCTACCAGCTCTGTTAACACCATCGATCAAATATCTGTCTCCATCATTGATCAAATACCGATCGCGGTGGAATGCCGTCTCCTCCAAACCAAAGAGAAGCACGAAAAAGGTGCCCCCGGAGATGATGGCTCCGAAATATCCAATCCAGCGCCAATCGAGGCTGCTGTCTGCAATGTAGCTTGCAATCAGAGGTCCCAAGTATGTACCAATACTGGTCGCCAGCACGTAAATACCGAGGATTGAACCGCGCTGATGTTGAAACCACAGATCCATCAGTGACAACTGAACCGTCGCTTCAGCCACAGACTCGGATGCGCCCACAAAGAGCTGATTCCAGACAGCATCGCTTGTCGACTGCCCTCTCGCGAACCAAATACTACCGATGAAACCCAGCGTCATGCCAACCAAGTATAGAATGCGACGACCGTACAGGTAAACGGCGGGGGAGGAAAGCAATGTCCAGTACCCAATACCGCAGAACAGGACGCCGGCGCCAGTATTGAACGAGCCATAGCTGATACCCAGCTCCAGATTCTCATTGTATTGAGCGGCGCCCGCGTCGTTGGAAGTGGCCGCCGTCAAGGCCGTGACGTAGCAAACGAGCAAACTGTGCCATATTTTCCGAGGTAAAGACCAATGGAGAGGGTCGTTGGGCGAGTCAGTGGGCTGAGGAACCAGGACAATGTCCCCGTGCCTCTTCAGTGATACATCCCCAGGATAGAGTGGCTTTCCTTCAGCGTCAAAAATGCGGCGTGTGCCGGGAAGTTCTTCAGTATACTCCATGCGGCCTCACTCTTGAATGGAGCCAACGAAAAAAGACACGACGAAGGGGAAACACCGCAGGAGGAGCTTGGGGGGGAGAAGGAGGTTTTATGAACTAAGCGAGAGGCGTCGCCATATCGTTACAGCGACGAGCAAAGATCAGATCCCTTATCGTGATGGTGTGTGCCCTAAGAAACGCCATCCTCGTCCTCCATCGAGTGCGGGCAAGGGTTCGTCTCGTCCACACAAGGACGATACCACCACCCCCGCAAAGAGGCGGGAGGGCCAGTCGCCGGTGATCAAAGCTTATCAGTGGCAAGACGGCGAGTAAGCGTATACCAGAAGACGGACCGCAAATGAGAATGGTCTTAGGCAGGGGTTATCAGGGCCCCAAGACTGAATTCGAAGGAGCTGCTACTCGTGTCAAATTGCATTCTACCAAGTACTACTGCGGGTTAAACTCAAGAATAAGCAGAGCGCAAGACAAGGCCGGATGGCTGGGGAAGGCCCCGATAGAGCTTGAACAAATCTTGATTTTTTTTAGTGACGCCCATGCACCCTTTGGCCTAGGATGCCAGGGTAAGCCCCTAGTCTGAGGCCCGGGCCCCATAACAATAGGCGAGGATCATTGTCCTGTGGGCTTGTCCGATAAGCAAGTCCTCACCCAGCGTCACCTGGGCTCCAATCCTGGGACCTTTACCCGGTGACCCCTCCTAAAATTCCAGCATCATTGGCGGGATACCCCCATCCCACGGCTACGATTCCCTAAAAATCTCTAGTTGGCTGGCCACCATTTTTTAGGTCCCCACGTTCCATCCCTTGCTTGCGTCTCCCTACATCATCATATTCGCCTTTCGAGCTCGTCCTCCTTTCCCTTCCTTCTTCGCTTCACCTATCATCCTGCTCACTTTCTCCGTATCGGCTCAGACGCAGCCTCGTTGCCCAGTGCAGACCCCCCGTCGACATCGTCGCTAACATTGCACGTAACTGAATGTCGACTTGCCAACTCAGAATGGCTCAACATTTCCACATCGCTCAGATTACCGCCCATAAACCAAAGGAGTCCAGTAGTCCTTCGACCATCCTGCAACTCGCTCATCGGCTTCTCCCTTCACCTGCCGCTGTCAATGAGTTGGAGGATGGTCTAAACCCGGAAGGACCTGAACATGCAGTTCAGGACGTTGTGAGTCAAGAGAAACGAGGAACATCTGCACAAGATGGAACACCCGCCCCGAAGAAAGTGATCGTAGTCGGTGCCGGCATCGCCGGTCTTCGTGCTGCCTCTGTCTTGCGAACCCATGGTGTCCAAGTCGTGGTCCTCGAAGCCCGTCCTGATCGGATCGGCGGACGCATTTACACGAGTAGGAAGGCTGGGCACGCTCCAAGAGACATTGGTAAATATTACCAACAGGCAATACTGACAATCGCCGTAGGCGTTTGACATGATGTCGTTAAGAGCGCTCATTGTTGGGCCACGACCATTGTGGGGTTGTTTCCCCCTGTCGTCCACTTCTACTCACACTTGTTTCTAGGTGCCGCCTGGATGCACGAAACCGCCAACAACAAACTCGTCCGCCTCATCGGCCAGCTCAGTATTGAGCATTATTATGATGACGGCACCCCCCTCTACTATACCAGAGACGGTCGTCTCGGCTCCCAGTTCAAGGCCAAAAAGGTGGCCGACGAATTCGCCGACTTCTGTGCCTGGTACTACGAGGAAAACCCCGACGCTGAAGACAAACCTGCCCTGACCTTCATCAGGGAATGGCTAAGCGATCATCCCTTAGTCAGTGAGGATGAACGCCTCTGGGCTCCCCAAGCTGCTCGTGAGGTGGAAGCTTGGATCGGTACTAGCCTCGAACAAGCGTCTTCTAAGCATCTTGCCTACTTTGCAACCGAAAGGAATCTTTACATGAAAGGAGGTTACGATACCATTATCGATTGGACAGCTTCTAATCTCCGTGATCCGGGAATCATTCGACTCGGACACCAGGTCACGAAGATTGATTGGAATGACGATAACACACAGAGTCCATGCGTGGTCCATGCCACCACTCCTGATGGCAGTCTCACTCCTTTTACCGCCGATGCTGTCGTGTGCACCCTTCCACTTGGCGTTCTGAAACATGAACTTGTGGATTTCAACCCAGCGTTACCAAGGCAACTGTCACTTGGAATTGAAAAACTCGGCTACGGAGCACTCGGCAAGATATTTGTCGAGTTCGAATCGGTGTTTTGGCCCAAAGACAATGACCAATTCATCTACTACCCTGAACCAACGACCGACGCTTTCGACGAGGATTCCATCTTCTCCTACATGACTGTTACGAGCAATAACTGGATCATGAGCGGTACTAAAGAGCTGTCCGTCCAGATTGTTGAGCCTCTAACTCAGCGAATCGAAGCCATGACTTCAGAGACTGAAATCTATGCCTTTTTCGAACCACTCTTCAAGCTTTTCCGCACCGAGCCTTACAAAAAGCTGCCTCCAGTTGTGAATCTGGAAACGACACACTGGACTCAGGATCCCTTTGCTGGCTTCGGTACATATACTGCCGACAAAACCGGAGATGACCCGGAAATTTGGTTCAATGCAGTAGAGAACAACAAGGAAAGCAAGCTGCAGTTTGCCGGCGAGCACTGCACGCGGACTGGAAATGGATGTGTGCATGGTGCATTTGCCACTGGTGAAACTGCTGCCGTCAACATTCTGACGTCGCTGGGAATCCCATACAATGGTGGGGATCTTTACAGCAGACGTCCATCGAGGAGGAAGTCACCATCCGGACACTGAGCGGGCGGATATCTCAATCCACCGCCAGGGGAATCTGGGGAGGTGGCGGCTCTCCTGGTCCGTTGACGGACGGCCTAGAGCGCCGGACTGAGACATGTCGGCGTTGGTTATGTTTTCGTGATTTTTGCTTTGCCTTTTTACACAGAATGCTATCTCGGGTTTTTATCATCTGATCAATGGTTGATCTGGTCACTCTCGCTTTATTGCCCCTCGTTTTCCTGAGCTTGCGGATGAAGCCGGTTTCCTCTATTCAGTGTCTCAAGAATGTCAAAGAATGCAGGGCTTATTATTGAATAGTCAACAATGCAATTTCACAATGGGAGCATGCATGTCAATTATACTCTCTCCTAGTTTTTAATCTCTAAATTCCCTGTTATCCGCACCAAAGTCCCTCACGTCGCCCAAGGGCATCAATTGGAAGATGCTACCCTTGCACCTCTGTTCCACCATGCATTCGGCGAGCGCGATGTTGGCCTCGGGAAACCCCTCGTCCCTCAAGCTCTGGTAGTAGGCCGCGACGAGGGCCTTGCCGAGACTCGTGAGGTCGTAGTCCTGCCCCGGTGTGGCAGTGGGTGCGGGACGGATGATCCAGACGAGCGTCAGGGGCGGGTCGAGCGGTTCCAGGCCCGGCTGGACGTGGGCGCTGAGGATCTCGTCTTCTTCTTCCTCGTGGTGGTAGTCGTCGCGACCGGAGGCGGAAGAACGCCCGCGGGGTCGACGCAGCACGAGCGCCATGCCGCCCGTCGAGGTATGGATCTTGGACCGCTCCAGTGCGTACGCTCTGCTGGCGTGGTCGTCACCGTGGTCTGGCGGCTCGGTCTCGAAGAGAGTGAAGGGCACGCTTCGCGTGACGGGCGGCACCGCACCGGGTGAAGTACTGGAAAGATCTCGGTCCTCGGCGTCCATCAGGGCGGCGTCCGCGGCAGCAACGGCGAGGACCATCGTGTGCAGGACTTCGGACATGTCTTGGCGGCGGTTCTGACGACGGACGTAGATGTATTGCAGGTACGGCACGGCGTATTTCGACCCTTTGCCTAAGCTGTCGTCGTCGCTGTCGTTGGTGATAGAGTCTCCATTGTCGGCACCATTACATATCGTGCTCTTGATTCCTGTCCGGGGCGGAACCGGGAGGACACTGAATTGCGCGGCCCCAATCGCCTCGCCCTGGTGGTCTCTGATCCCGACGATTCGATAAGGCGCCAGACCTTTCCTCTCGCCCTCCGCTTGAGCCGCAAGGCGCTCGACGATCAGATCTGACCGTTCCCGCTCGGTCACGCGGGGGAAACTGTGGGTGTAGAGCGGGTCATACAACGCCGAGAAATCGGTCGCAGAGACGAGCTCTATTAGACCGATGTTGGGGAGGGCGGTGCGTTGGAGGCGCGACGGAGGCGTCCGGCTCAACGTATCCAGAGGGGTGGATGGAGGGAGGTGGGCAAGGAGAGCGGACAAGGAAGGGGAAAGGTAGGGGTGGAAGATCGAGGAGTAGGTGGTCGTGGATGACATTGCACTGTTCAACGGCCAAAGAGAAATGTCTATTGTAGATATTTGGCGGATGTCACGGTGAGTACTTTTTCCTTGGACCTCCCTGACGATGGTGTGTCTTGATTGCTGTCCCTCCAATCCGCGGCTCCGAAGAACTGGAAAAAATGAAGTAGAAGAAATAAATTGCTTAGACTGGCCTTTGTAAATGGCTTCTCGATTTCATTCTGTCCTTGACATTGACCAGATGACCTTACGAGATTTCAGGCAGTGTGGGCGAAAATTCGATAGTATTTCAAGGTGTGAGAACTCGCAAGCTGGGTTCCGATAGAGCCCCATGGGCGAAATAAGGGACAGATTATGAATCGTCGAGCAGAAGCAAAGACAGTAAAGCCGATGGCAAAGAGCCAAAGAGGCATGGAGGTCAGCAGCGCATGGGTGCGGTCTGTTTCACCGTATATGGAGTACTGGCTGTTGTACGGGAAATCTTGAACCCTGGCAACGTAGAGCCACTTCCACGCCTCCATAGGTAACGTCTCTCTGTCACGGAAGGCGCGATCCGTTAGTTAGTCAGATAATAGTTCGCAGCTTCTCCTCACAGAACACAATCAACATCTTCAGAACTTGAGCTTACGCTGGCTACTCTTCCTGAAGCAGAACTGTCAGTGGCTTATCCAGGTCCAAAACTGCTTGCTGAAGACACATATACCTGGATCCCCGTCGAGTCAAACCAGGAGGCCACCGCGCTCATGACCACAGAACTCGCCTGGCGGGAGTGTTAGACATGAGTTGGGCACTTAACAAGACCATTCCGCAAAGTCAAAGCGAGCTCGACTTCGAAAGTGCCGTACAATGACAGCCTCTAGTTGAATCCTATTTCCTGCCCAGGCCATCAACAGCCTCTGTACAGTTCCGGCCACACCGAGGTCCGCCTCTGCGTCCATGAACAGAACTTCTCCGCACATGAACTCCGATGCACACGATGCACCCCGCCCCGCCTGCAACCCAGCTCGCCAGTTGGACAGAGCAGACCCCTTGTGGCATCATGCTTTGGCGGGACCCGATTCAAGACAATAATCAAAGCTGGACAAATGGCTCACCCCCTCACTGGGGTTAGTGGTTCCGAGGTTGCTTGTTGGCGATGCTGCTTGATGGAGAGGGTGGCTACCCAAGCGCCGAGCATAAAGAGACGTGAACTGGAAATGTTTCGATCAATACGGGGATCATCTACATTCACCTAGTCATCATTATACTACGGCCACTCTCATCTCACCACAAAGATGACTGAATTTGCATTCGGTAAGAACCAGGTTGTATCTCATTGCATATTTCCCAGAAAGGCTGACACCCATGTGTAAAACATAGTGACGGGCGGAGCCAGTGGCATTGGCCGCGGGGTGGCGGAAATGCTGGTGAAGAACAAGTATGTACATCCGTTCTTTGTCTACAACCGCCTACCATGTGCCATTATCTGACAGTCACTTAGTATCAAAGTTTTCATCGTGGATAGAGACCTCGACGGAGCCCAAAAAGTTGTGGATGAGCTAAACAAGGGTTCTCAGATGGCAAAATGTGCTCAGGTCGACGCGGCCAGCTGGAATTCGCAGGTGAAAGCCTTCAGTCAGGCTGTGGCAGACTTCGGCCGGATCGATTACGTCTACCCCATTGCAGGCATCGGCGAACGCGCGTGGATTCCCAACGACCCTTCCATGACTGGCTTCGTGCAGCCTGATCTGACCACCCTCGATATCGACTTGACGGGTGTTCTGTACACTGTGGCGCTGGCTGTGCAACAATTCAGGAAGCAGCAACCAGGAAAGAACGGGTTCAGGGGCAAGAGTAAGTGTTCTGACCATTTTGCAGGGGTTTGCGGGCTAATCATTTGTCAGTTGGGTGTGTCGCCAGCGTCTGCGGGCTATACTGCTGTCCCACGCTTCCTGTGTATACTTCGGCCAAACATGGTGTCGTCGGGTTGGTCAGGAGCTACGGCAAATACTTGCCAGAAGAGAAGATCACGATGAACGCAGCATGCCCAAATGTAGTTCGTACCAATATCTCTGCCGGAGCTTTTTACGAGAAGCTGGACAAGGAGGGATTGTTGACACCCATCGAAGGAGTTATTGGGGTTTTCGAGAAGCTGCTAGGGTCGGACGCGACGTCCGGAGAGACGTTTGAGATAGGGCCCAACTATAAAGACCAGGGAGCAGTACCTCGGAAGGGCATTGAGTGGCTGGACAAGGAAACGGAGCGGTGCTTCGAGTTGCTGTACCAGAGATCCCACCCGCTGCATGAGCCTCGTTGAGCAAAAGGTCTGAGAGCCTGGGGTGGGCGACCACTTGTTCATGCAGACTCTGATTTGTATTAGCTACTCTATCAATGAATTTTCCTGATATGAGGAATGCCTCCCGAGTAACCAATGTAGTATTTGGAGATGGTGCTCCCCCGCAAAAGGGCTTTGACAGTGACGTAACTGATAACAACGGTCCAGACAAGGCTGCCTAGCTGCACATCGACAAACTACCTAGGAAGCAAGTGTCCCGAGCTCTCACTACCAAATTGCGGGTGACTGCGGCGAGCAATCCGTTCGCTGACGTTGCCGTCTCCCCTCCTCCGTTTTCTCCGCCAATATTATGTACTACCAAGTAACAAGTATGAGTAGCGAGCTACCTCAATTCACCCCATCCACCATTGATATTGTCGTGGTTTGAAGCTTGTTCGTTGGATTCACACGTTGAATTGAGCTATTTCTCTTTCACTTCTGGCCGAAAGCTCTGAGACTGTTTGCCTTGTGAGCTAGCCATTGAGCAGCCTTTTGCTGTGCTTGTGAGATTCATCCCTCCATATAGCTGAGACGTAGGTCCTTCCTTGCCTGCTTACCAACTCCATCCTCTCACCACCTCCACAAACAACAAGGAAAACCATGGCAGCCATCCACCGACCTGCGCATCTCACACACCATGCAGCCAAGCTCGCCTCGGCGGCCTGCTTCGAAAAGGCCCAAGCCATCGGCATGCCGATGAACATCGCCATCGTGGACGCCTCGCTCTACCTCCTCCACTTTGAGCGCATGCCCGGCGCCAAACTCACCTCGGTCGATATCGCCATGAACAAGGCCTTCACCGCCGCAGGCCACCGCGCCCCGACCTCCGTCTACAAGGAGAACGTGTGGCCCGGCGGTCCGGCGTTTGGGCTCAACAACAGCAACAACGGCAGGTTCATGTATGTGGCAGGCGGGATCCCGATTGTCGTGGACGGCGAGGTCGTGGGTGCGATTGGGTGTAGCACGGGCACACCGGCGCAGGACACCGAAGTCGCGCAGGCGGGTGTTGATGCCGTGATGGCCTACGTCAAGAAAACGCAGTCAAGGCCAAAGCTGTAAAGAATTCGAATGTTTATATCCTGGGGCCAGAGGTTTGCATCGGCTATTTTGTTCCAACAACCTTGCACATATCATGACGAGACGACGGATAACGGGCAACGGGCAACAAGGAGATATCCTGCGATGCATCACATGTTAAGATGACGTGCGAGAGAATGTGGGCAGCACAACCCCATTCCCGAACACCATCTATGGTCCTCCTAACACGCCAAACTAGGAGGGAGAACAAGTGATGCTTGCCTGCCTGCCTGTGTTCATATGGGACGATTTATAAAAGAAAAATATTTTTTTGGTGATGATTGCAGTTGCATTGCAGGCTTGGAAAGAGCAAAGGAAAACCGGTGTTTGGGGGGATGTACTACAGAGATACAAAACACATTTTTTCGGGGAGAGTCCATTCACTCAACTCACTCACTCACTCACTCACGCTACCTACCTACCTACCTACCTATGTCTGCCTGATGACCTAATAAACACTTCTAGTCAGGGCGGTCCTAATGTAGAAAGAATTGTAGTGTCCAAGGCTGATTGGGTAGTCAATCCACGTGATCTAGACTATCTTTATTTCCTGAATGGAACCAGGTCTATCACGCTAGAAATCTTGAGGTTACGTGGCGGACCTGAACCTTTTGCGTGGTGAATGTACTCGATAGATCGAAGTCATGAGTGACAGCAAATGATTTGAATGTGCTCTTATGACAAAGGCAGTTGAATAGGCGAGAAAGAAGCCCTCCCTCTCACCCTGGCTCTCGAGATCTTTGTCGCTGCTTGATCAAAAGTGCTGGGCGAGGTGGATCAATGGAAGGATTTTGGCAGGCGGGAGGTAGGATTTTGGATCAAGAACTGGTGCGGCTAAGGGGTTGATGGTGAGACCCAAGGCTGGAAGTCCTGTCCTGAAGAGTGTGGTTAAGCCTTGCAACGGGGTTTGGGCCTTCTGTGCGGGTTAAGTAGGTATACTGTGCTAGGCGCATAACCATCCATTTGTGACACAATTCCGCAGTCTTGGGGGGGTGTTGTCTATCATACCAGAATCGCTACATATTTCCAAGTGGCTACTTGGAGGAGCTCGTATAGACCGAAGATGGACTTTTCAGCCCAGCGACTTCTGGCTGCCGGATTGGTGAATAGTCTAGGCCTGAACCCTGCAACAGCCGCCACAGCTGCACCTAGTGAACCTCAGCTGGGAGCTTGAATCCTCCCCTTTCTGGGTTCTCGTGGCCCCCTCTTGCAGCTGCTCCCTCTTGTGCTCCGCCACGAAATGGCCCCCAATGGGTTGCAGGCAAGAGGGTGACCTTCTGCCAGCGAACCTGCAACTTCCACTCTTTGTCACAATTTATTTTCCTGCTAACTCGGATCAAGTGTCTGCAGACATTTTTCTCTTCTGCCCTGCCCGTCCCTGCACTCTTGTCCTACCTCTCTCGTGGCACTGTGCTAGACCAACCTCTAATCGCTGTCACCCGCGCCAGGCCTACCCCGCAGTCTCTCAAAAGACCTTTACGTGTGGCTGCAACCGCGTTACGAGGCAGGAGAAGACCTGGGGGAATACAATACCGTCCTTCCTCTGGTGCTCATAGCAAGATCCTACCTTGTCTCTCTGTCGCTTAAACCTTGGAGGAGTGTCAAGACTGTCGTTGCAGGCGTGGCCTGAACTGTTGCAAACATGAGCGCATGTGAGTCCCTGCATCACCCCTCAACTACACCTCAATATCTTTGGTTTCCAACAAATGGTGGACGATTGTGTGTGACAGGCCTCCTGGCTTTGTCTCTGGACTTTGGGACTCGGCCGAAACGCTGAGTTCTCTCGATGCGTCAATTGTCGGAGAGTCGAGGCTGATGTGCAATGAACAGTCTCTGGTATGATGAACAAGCTGCAAGGCCAGCCTGACAGCTACGATAAGAAAGCCAAATACCGCTTCGGAAAGACGCTGGGAGCAGGAACCTATGGCATCGTTCGGGAGGCGGAGGTCGGCGGAGAAAAGGTTGCTGTGAAGATTATTCTCAAAAAGAGTGTCAAGGGCAATGAGCAGATGGTATACGACGAGTTGCAGATGCTGCAAACCCTGAGTCATCCACACATTGTTAAATTCGTCGACTGGTTTGAGTCGAGGGTAAGACTTGCACTCCTGTGCAATCAATGTGGCAGGAGACTGACGAGAGACAGGACAAGTTCTACATCGTGACCCAACTGGCCACTGGTGGAGAGTTATTCGATCGCATCTGTGACAAGGGCAAATTTACGGAGAAAGACGCCTCGCAGACCATTAAGCAGGTCCTCGAGGCGGTCGATTATCTTCATGAGCGAAACATTGTCCATCGAGGTAGGAACAAAACCCTTTTGCCAGCAACGCTTTCTGATCGACTGCTACAGATCTGAAGCCAGAAAACCTTCTCTATCTCACCAGAGATCCTGATTCCCAACTTGTTCTTGCCGACTTTGGTATCGCGAAAACACTAGAGGGTCCGGGTGCTGTCCTCACCTCGATGGCTGGATCTTTTGGCTACGCCGCCCCCGAAGTTATGCTCAAACAAGGTCATGGCAAGGCTGTGGACATGTGGTCTATGGGAGTCATTACTTACACTTTGCTCTGCGGCTATTCTCCTTTCCGCTCTGAGAATCTTGCAGACCTCGTGGACGAATGCAAGAGCGGTCGGATTATCTTCCATGAGCGGTACTGGAAGGATGTCAGCAAGGATGCCAAAGAATTCATCTTGACACTATTGCAACCGGAACCCAAGCGACGGGCGACGAGTAAAGAAGCACTCAAACATATCTGGCTGACTGGTGAGACGGCTTCGGATCACGATCTCTTGCCAGAGATCCGATCATACCTGGCGAAGATGAAGTTGAAGCGCGGTATTGAGCTCGTCAAACTGGCCAACCGAATCGACGCCCTCAAGATGCAAGACGAAGAAGACCCCGGTTCGCCCGATTCAAACGACATACCTGCAAACGCACAAAATGCTGCCGGCTTAGCGGTGAAGAACCACGTCCGGGGAGTTTCTCCTGGACGAGGTCTTGCCACAAATGAAACAGGAGAGAGGAGACCTCTGAGCAATGCTGCAAAGAGTGCAATTTTCCGGGAAGTCGTTCTAGCCAAAGTCAGGGAGATGAAGGATAAGGAAAAGACAGACAAGCTTGTTGCGGATATCACAAAGGAACATGAAAGGAGGAAGAGCTTCACTGGTGCACGCCCTCAATGAAGATGGCGATATTGGCAGGAGATTCCTGGGCCAAAGGATCGACCACTTTGGCCGTAACCAAATTTGTCCGGTGTCGACAGGTTGGAACGACATTGTCAACGATGCCATCACAATACCCCATTGCTAGTGGTGATGATGATGATGGTTCTCAGTATGTTATTCACGGGCGATGATCATGAGCTTTGTTATCTGGCGGCATGAAGCCGCTTTTCGAGCCGAGTGTTGATTGCTTTGGAGTGCCTTCAGGGCGTAGCGTCAAAATTCATACTTTGTTCACAGGCGCAATGACGATATTTCGTATTCGGACCGCTGGCTGTAACAAGAATACACCCATCCACCTAATGACGATCTTCGTCGGAATGAGCTATACCGAAGCCCGTGCAGAACATTTATTGTAACATTCTCCTCACCTCACCAATACCCATGCATGTTACCCTGACGAGGGTAAGCAGGATAGGCTTTCTGCAAGAGCTTCTGTCGAAAACCCCAGACCCTACTGATCATCAGCTCTCTGGAAGATCTGGCTTTGATAAGTTCCGGACACCCAGCAGTGCAGGTGTGCCGGCCCGATTGTACTTTCGCCAAATTCATAGTGCTATCTGACTGTGTATTGAGAGGAGGTTGTCTCTCTCTCACAGTCCTATTCTTCTCTTTAGATTCACACTCCCTACATTTCTCTAGGAAATCCCCATTAGTATCTGTTGAGCCCCAAAATGGCTGTGGAGTCATTCTTCAGAGACCGGGTCTATGCCATCTCCGGCGGCGCGAGTGGAATAGGTCTGGCGACGTCAAAACTCCTCCTGAAGTACGGCGCCAAAGTCTCTATCGGTGACATTAATATTCCCAGTGACCTTCTCGCAGACCTAGCCGGTGGCGACTCCCCAGCGGGAAAAACGGCCGAGAACAAACACATTCTTCTGAAAAAGGTCGACGTGCGGTCTCGCGACGACGTCGACTCGTGGATCGCCGAGACGGTGGGAAAATTCGGAAAGCTGGACGGGGCGGCAAACCTCGCGGGCACGATTCCCAAGGACCACAACATCGGGGCCATTGAAGACGTCGATGACGAGCAGTGGCGCTTCGTCTTCGACGTCAATGTGCACGGCATGATGAACTGCCTGCGGGCGCAGCTCAAGGTCATTGGGAAAGATGCGAAAGGGGGACAGGGAGAAGGAGGCGCCGTCGTCAACGCGGGGAGTGGCCTGAGTCTCCAGGGCAGGGAGTACACGACCGCATACACGGCGAGTAAACATGCGGTATTGGGCATGACAAGGTGTGTGGCCAAGGAGGTGGGCAAGAGGGGAGTCCGTGTCAACTGTGTCGCGCCGTGAGTTTGTCCCTTCTATGTCTCCCCAATCATCCTTTTTTTTTTTCGTTTACACGTGAAAGGTGCAAAAGAGAAAGTAACATCTAGCTGATTGTGATTGTGATTGTTTTTGCGCCAGGGGCTTCACAAACACCCCGCTGATGAAGCAATCCATGGCGATATCCGAAGGTTCGGCGTCGGCAGAGGACTTTTCCACTACCGCCCTCGGGAGGATGGCACAGCCGGTCGAGATTGCCGACACGATCGTCTATCTATTGAGTGACAAGGCGAGTTTCGTGACGGGGGCCTGTGTTTCTGTCGACGGAGGGTGGTTTTGTTGAAATATACATACACACCAGAGAGAGGAATTGGATTGGAATCTTTCCTTTTGCTTCGCTTCCGTACCTTACTTCTCGAGAGGACATCACGATCGTAATCACATCGGTCCCAAGCCCAGTGGTCTCTCGTATGTCTCAAGCCTCTTGTAGAGTGACCATAATAAATGTACGAGGTAATATATACTCTAAATCAGGGATCGAGTAAGGGTTCGGCGCCTTGCTCATTCTCATTGGCGGACGCCGAAATCGCCGAAATCGGGTGGGCGGGCACAATTTTATTCTATATACTAGCATTCCTCGGTGTGCTGCGTTCCAATCACTGGGCCACCGGACAACACCTGAAGTAAGTAGGACTATACCATTGTTGGAAGAAGGCAAATGAGGCCAGTCCACAGTTGTTTTTCTGATTGACTGATTCGTCATAAGGAGCTTGTGAATGTCAAGATGCAGGCTGGGACACCATGGGGTTATATTCGCATTGGTAGACTCTTTGGATGGCCCGGGTTATGGAACAATCCGTTCCCAAATGCAGGGCCGCAGCGAACGGGGGTTAAGCTCATTTCAATCACGACAGGCCTTCGCATGCCACTGCATCGCCCTCATCCAGAGAGGGAATGTCTGGAAGGTCATTGACATTTGTCACACCCCCGAGGATCTGAATCATGAACCCTGGTTCAACGGTGGTTGGGCCACGTGGGACCAATCTGTCCGCCTCAGGGACGTTGATCAACCTGATGTTCCATGCAGACGCAATAACTAAAGACTCTTTGCGGTTTCCTAGGCCATGCTGAGCAATTCGTCCATTATTGTCCAGGATTCCACGTCGCTATCTTCATTTGCCTCATTGGCTCTCCTTTCAGCAATCTCGACTTGCACCCTTGCTGTACCGATGGCTAAATTATCTGCCCTTACTAAGATAAGTGTCAAGGTCGTGCTACCGGGGTTGATGGCGCAAAAGGTATACTCTCCGACAGTGCCCGGGTCCTTGTTCGCCGTCTGTAGGACTAGGTGCGGATTCTGCACTTCAGCCCATCTGAATTCGTGAGTATTAGAGGCGTCGCATAACTTGACGCTGAACGAATCGCCACAATCGACGTTGAAACTGCTCCTGTCAACTGCTGTCTTCGGCATTTCGTGTTTCGAAGGCGAGACGGCATGTGCTTCCAGGTGAGTGTCTAGCTTCGTGGCAAAGGCTAGGAGCATGCTCGTGGTAGCATCCCTGAGGAAATCTGAGACAGGACTGTCGAGTCTTCGATAAGTGGGATATTCATAGCCCTCCAAGAAGTCTACGGCGAGCGGAAAGTTAGCGGAGAGTGTAACTTCGTGACAGTACGTGGCGATCTTATATCCTACCTTCTGCGGGTTCATGTTCAGTAATGACCTGTATCCACATCGCATCCCGCACCCAAAAAACACTGCTGTCTGTTTGCAGCGCGACTTGGCCAAGGTGCGCATTTCTAGTGACCTTCACACTAGCTTGAATTTGCGCAGATAATCCACCATCATTCTCCTGGGCTGTGGTAGCGTCTGTGCAACTCGTCACTATAACAAAGACACTGCACGGAGGCTCGATATCGCTGGGCAGCGTATACTCGGCACGGATGAATGTAGTCGTCGCTTTGAAGTGGGAAACGACTATCTTGGGGTATCTGGAAACAATGCCTTCGGCCAGACCAGCGATGGTTTTGGTGTTCAGAGAAGCATTGTTCTTAAGGTCAGAGTATAGATTCCCCTTTCCGGCGGAGTTAAAGGCCTTTTGAGCTTCATCGTCAGGGGTATTCCTCGAGGGGGTTCTCGAAGTAGTGGCCCGTCGTGGAGTATTCTTTTCGTCGATCTTTTTGTGTTCGGTCCTCTGCAGGAGCGTCTGAATACTGAGTGTCAGATTATTCGGCTATAAATTTCTTCCTTCACCTTTACCGGATCATTTCCAGCGCAGGTAGACATATATATGTCTGTTATCTACAGTGCTCCAGACATTTTTGACCATCGACCAAGAGGCGAGGGCAGAGGTCTTCGAACCCTTCTACCTGCGTGATTCTGTGTCGCTTTGTCGTGCCCACCTGGTGTCTTTGCAGAGTCTCGGTATCGCAACCGAGTCAATGCTAGGGCGTGGACTAATCTTTATTGGGATGCGCTCTGCTCTGATTTGCTTCGCGGAATAATTCTCTGCGAAGGTAGAAGTTGTAAATTTGAAGCGTCATTGACAAGGCTGGGGCGCAGGAGTGGAGTGGTAAGAGTGATGCAGAGTGATGGGAATTGACGACGATCACGTGAGAACAAGGCGGGCATGGGATAATGGCTTGTCAGGCTTGAGGTAGGTACCTCGTATTCATTCATCGCCGCTTCGCCTCGGTTCCACAATTTTCGCAAAGAACTCCGGGATAACCTCAGGAAGTGGCAGGTGGGCCGACTAAAGGGCAAGCAGCTAATCAGAATAGGAAGATGAGTGATAGGTTTCTTCCAAAGTCCCGAGTCAATGAGTACAAGCTGTGCTTTCCCCTTCGCACCTTGATGTCCGGACCACACGCTTGGATGATGTGCTGCTAACATGTCGGTCCAGCGTGTGATCTCGCGCGCCTCTCGTGCACTTGTTCCCTCGAGTTCTCCTTCATCTGCGTCCAGGTACTACTCCTCCGCACCCCGGCCCGCAACAGAGGAATCTAAGAGTGCGCTCCCCCCTCGCTGGCTCTCAGACACCAAAACCCGCATTGGGCGATGCATCACCTTCGGTCTCCCCCCAAAGCTGGTTGAGGAGGCCGGCCAGGTCCTGCAGGTCCTAGCCCGAGACTGGCGAGAGCTCCTCGCAGGTAGTGAGGGCTACCTGACTTCGGAGAAAAGAGCGGGCTTACACAGGCAGAAGATCGTCTGGGGCGAACAGGACGCCATGGGCCACATGAACAACACGATGTACGTCCGCCACGCGGAGAGTGGACGGTGCAACTGGGTCCGCAACTACAGTAGCCACGTTGACCCTACCCACAAGCAACGGTGGGAAGATTTGATATCCTCCAAGGGCATCGGGTTGATCCTAAAGAGCATAACTGTCGACTTCAAATTCCCCATGAAATGGCCAGACCGGGTCTCTGTCTACCACAAGCTTCGGTACCGGCCGGACGAGTCTACAGATTCCTTGATCCTGGACGTGTTGATCATGTCCGAGGTACGCCAGCGTCCGGCGGCCCGGTGCTTGGAAGATGTCGTGGTGTATGACTACAGGGTGGGAAAGAAGAGCACTCTGGAACCGTTCATGCTCGAGGAATTCAAGAAGACGTTTGATTTACAAGAGGCCGCGAAGAAGGAGAATCATGCCAAGATCGAGTGGATTGAGCAGCGCGTGAGGAGCCTCGAGACCGGATCCTGGGACAGACATGATGCGAAGGAAGACTTTGGAAGCGCCGGAAGGCAATGACCATAAACTCACCCGCATGAGAAGGGACTAACAGCGCTCCCGGAGGTGCTGCGAACTGGCAACGCTTAGTGCCAGGGACCCTGCCCACCACTGGCACGACGTCTGTGGAAATGGTGGTGGTGATGAAGATGCAGGCAAGCACGTCCTCTCCCTCAACGTCACTGATTAGACTGTGTTCGATGGAAGCGGAAAGGAAAAGAGAACGGGAACGCAATCGAAGTCGAAAAGGCCCCTAGGGCCCAAAACCTTCAGCGTCGATATCACCCCACCTCTAAACGACGAACTGTCTTCAACGATGCTGATTCTGGGAACATGGCACTCCGAGAGGGAGAGTCATGTCACGGTTCATACCCGTCAAGGACCTTCACACCTTGTGACGGTTCTTGAGAGGCAAAACGGCTACTTAGTTGCATGCCATGAACGCTTGTAGAGCGTTGCGTAGCCAGTATATCAGGCATCGAGCCCTATATTTGTGGATGAATTCCGCCTGTGGATCACGGTTCCGATATATTAACCAAAGATGGTTCTGAAAATGTAACGGATAGATAGCATATAGATTGTGAATATACGATTTATAAAGTGCAGCAACCCTCCAACAACAAACTATTGTTTCTTGCACAATGTTTTTTCTGTCCTACGAAACTTGCTGCCTGGGTCGGATCCGTCATCCGACTTGATGACCCATCTACTTGTCCCAAACCTTTGGCGCCAAAAGCAACTCGTTACCCAAAGCCAGATGATTGCCCAACAGAGATTCCGCCAAAATTAGTCGTCCCGGTGGTGACTTCTTTTGATACTTCCAAACCTTTTCTTCAATCCTCCACTCAGCCTCTTGCTGATGCTTCCACTTCTTCCGAGCCCCTGGCCGTCGTCCCAGCCTGATCGATCTGCAGTTGGTGGAACAGGGCCGCTCGAGCTCCTGTTGCGATTCTTCATTTCAATGCCGTTGTTGCCGCTGGCCTTCTGGTCTTCGTCGGAGATTTTGTGCTCCTTCAGAGCCTTCTCTAAACTATAACTTGGTTCGCCTTTGCCTTTGACGTCGCTGGGATCATATTGCACACCCGGCCATCGTTTATATGCGCCACCTTCCGGACTGCCTTCGATCATCATGTTGTCGCCCTCTTCATAGTTGTAGACGTTTCCATTGCGATCCATATTCCCTGGAGCATATGCCGCTACTCCGTCGAGTGGTCTGTGGCCTCTGACGGAGTCCATGATCTTCTCCCTGGGTGTTGCCTTGAGAGCTTCCGCGTTCGAAGCCGCTACGGCCGCTAGCGGACTATTCAACGAGTTGTTGCGGGCGAACAGCGTGGCGTCGTACGGTCCGCCGTGGTGATAGGCACCACCACCAGTCATGTCAAGGTTGTCAATGATGTCCGGCTGGATGTGATGTTTTCTGGTTGTGTGGCGCGACCGATCTGCCACAGCCTTTTGCTTTGTCAGGGTATCGAGCGGCCGATGAGACATGTCCCCCGGGTAGCGCTCAGAGAGGGAGCTCCCGCGTCGGCGACGACCTTTATGAGGGCTCGAGTGGCTTTCATCTCCAAAGGCTTCTTGTCTATAACTAGGAGACTGAGGTGTTGGTGGTGACCGTGGAGATTGAGGAGACTGTGTATAATGGTTGGGAGTGGCTGGAGAGGTTGCGGAGGGCGGTGGTGAAGGATACGATTGCGGAGGGTATGGCCCTTTGTTGCCCGAAATAGGGGAATAACCATTACTGTTCAGGGAAGCAGACCGCTTGATCTCAGTTGTGGTGCTGTTGGAAATGGAGTTCTTGCGGTACGGGTTGTTCTTTGAGAGACGTCTTCCGATAAGTTGCTTTGATTGAGGGGAAGCCTTGACAGGAGCGACAGTCGCACCGGGTCGGAAAGTGTTCCCTGGACCATCTTCCTGAGACGGTTCTGGTGCGTTCAATGGGTCAAGCAGGTACTTGGTAGCCTGGACGGAAAATATGTCAGTCTTGCGCCCTACTGATTCATTGCGAACCTAGAAATGTCACATACCCAATTTTTGTCGCCAGTATCCATGGTCCAAGCTCGCACATGCACAAATTCGTGGGATTGAAAGACGTCTCGTCAAATAGTCCTGCGGTAAGAATAGAGGATAATAAAGGAATCAGAAAACGGCTATCCCAGCTTACACGAAGTGAAAAGCTTAAGAGGAATTCTTCCCACCTATACGCATCGAGCGAGGCCAGGTATAATTGGAGGTTTAAAGGATGTAGAACGGAGCAAGGCGGGCAACAAACCCTGCTACCGATGTCATGGTGGAGAGCACCCTGGAGGGAGGGTCCCTCGCAAGGTCGGCGGGGCTGATAGCCAACAGGTCTGGACTCCAGGGTGCGGACTTGGGACACACTAGGCACCAAAGCCACCCTGTCATTGGGCTTGTGTCTCGACGTCATCCACTAAAATCAAGGCTCAAGGGGATGCCTGGGGATAAACTTCAACAGCGACTTCTTCATGGTGCATTAAGGCATTTGTATCGATTACCTCGTCGAGAAGTGGTTTTATGCATTTGCTCTATATTACAATCCTGAAGTCAACATATTTGTGCTTGAGATTCCCTGTTCCCGGCATCCCGGTCCCGAAGGTCATACGAGTGCAGAATTTCTGATTTACACCTGTGATTTTCCTCCTGCGGGAACGACTAGTGGACGATATGCACAACTGAGACATTGTCCTCGTCACCACACCACGTTGTCATTTCCACCTGCCTCCAAGCCACCAAACCTCAACACTGCTTGCTCAGCGCTCCCCTGTGATCGTCACAGGTCCCAAGGATCCGAACCTGCTCAACCCCGGCCAACCTCCCAACTCTATTTGCAAGATCTCCTCCTATCATCAAGCTTCGATACACGGCTTGGCAGGCACATTGGCCCTTGAGCCATGTGCGTTTCTCAGGCTATTGCTGAATCTTGACCATGGTCCTTGTTGACTATCCAGATTCGAGCTCTGAAAGTGAGGATCAATGCACAACCAAAGAGCCTATAAAGCAAAGGTGTGGGAAACGAAAAGCTGAGCGCGTGGAACCAGAAGGACCGGAGTCCAGTGGGCGCAAACCTCCTCCGCCGCCCTTACCAAGTTCTTTTCACTCGCTTTACGCAACCAACGTAAGAAGTTCGACTACCGATGACCCTTCCTTGCACGCTGGTCGCACGCGTCAAGTTCCCCATGCGGTAGGTAATTGGCCCACTCATGTCTACCTTGAGTGGTACCCATCAAAGTGCGACCTTGTGAGCCTCGATACGGTGGTACAGAAAGCAGGTCTGGCATTAGGAGGTACGAATGAAGGCTCGAAAATCGATGTACACAGCTTCCTTCACTCTGATTTGGGTGCACCCTTACCACTTCACATCAGCCTATCTGCGCCCCTTGTCTTAAGGACGGAGCAAAAGGAACAGTTCCATGCCCGTCTCGAATCAAGGTTGAGGGAGGGGCGCATCCAGCCATTCAGGGTCAAGGTGTCAGGACTCGACTGGGTACCGAATCACGACAAAACAAGATTCTTCTTAGTTCTGAAGCTCATGAAGCCTGAAAACGATGAATTAAACAGGTTGCTGTCAATATGTAATGCGGTTGCCCGGCAATTCAACCTGCCTCAACTCTATGAGGGACCCTATGACACCCGCAAAGGTCCGAAGTCGGGGCAAGCGAGCAAGACAACACGCAAAGTGACTGATAAGTCGGATGCCTTTCATGTCAGCATAGCTTGGGCTCTTGATGAGCCACACGATAGAGCCAGGCAAGAGCTCATCCGTCTTGTAGATGACAAGTTGCGAGCGTTGAAGGTGAGCTTCCCACTTCTCAAGCTCAAAATCGGGAATTCTGTGATCGACAGTCCTTTCACAGCCGGTTGTGGTGGAACCATGAATGACAACCATATCGGTTCGGTTGTCTTGTGAGAAGGGTGACTTCCCGCATCTGTCTTTCCCGTCACAAAGCTTCGACCTCTGCAGCTTTATGCTCAGCTGCGAACACACGCGGCCGTCATTCCAGCTCGGCACAAACAAGGGGTCTCGAGTCTGCAACTCCCTCGACACACCGACTCGTCTGACACGAACACTCGGCGATAGTGCTTCTGGCTGGAGAATGGTGCGCTGTTGGACCTGAACAAGCCAGAAAGCCCATCGTGACTACGACGGGGGTATTTTGCTGGACTTCTCATCCGCGACTTGTGAAGAGACATATGACGAGCAGTCCGGTCAACTTTGAATAGATATTCGTGACTGGGCTGCCAGTTGTGGTTTCAGTCCAGCACAATCCCTCAACTTTTCAGCAGCTTATTCCTTTTCTCTCTTCGCTTCCTCCTCTCGACCAATTTCTGATGCATTTTCTCTGCCATCTTCTCATACCGTTCTTTCTCCTCTTTAGCTTTCCGTCTGTCCTTGATGGCCTGTATCCGTCGATTCCGCTCGGCTTCTTTTTCTTCTTTCATTTCTTGTTCGCGGGCCTTGGTGGCTTGTTTGAGCATATCGAGTTCTTTTCGTTTGGCATATGCTGTCTGGCCTGCTGTAGGGCGGAAAGGCTTCTTGGGAGCATGCCAGTTCTTGCCTGCATATCCAGTGAGTTTCATAGAATACATTTCAACTGATGTAGCGTACCATTGACCCTCATCCCGACTTTTTGGACAGAATCGGTGGAGGCTTTTGGGTGGGATGATTCTGCTAGCGGAGACGTTGCCCCAGCCGGTGGTATTTTGGTCCAAGTGGTAGGGGCTGATAGTACTCAGTGCGCCTCTAAGCCTGAAGGTGTCCCTCTCAAAGAACAGTGCACAGGACAAGGTCCACGTTTGGCGAACATTTGTAGTGGAGGCTAGCAAATAATATTTCTTATCTTATCGGGATCTGAGCAGTGCAGAAAAAGGCGGGTCTGACGTAGTCAATTTACGGCAAAACTTCAAGGGTATCACTTGCTTGGAGTCTTGTCCGCGTTGCTGTCAGACTCTTGATTCTTTTAGCGCATGCGACTTTTCCTCATCGCCTCTGTTTGTCCACAAAATCTTTTTCGCCATTCACTCCACTCCTCGACGTACAACTGGCGGACCCCTCGATTTCCAGGTTTTGAAAGATGAATGCAACACTTTATGGGCTCTTCTGAACTGCGCCCAGTCCTGCCATGCATTAGCAGTCTTGTGCTTGATCCCTGACACGGAAAATTTTCTCGACTACATCCTGCTGGTGTGTCACTGCGCTTTATATTACTCCGCTCCATTTTCGCAAACGGCACCGACACCGCTCTTCCCTCGCTCCACGGAGCCCCCCTCACACAGATACCGCAATATGTTACGACGATAGCATTTTCTCGTTCCTTCTCCTCCATTTATCCTCTGCATGGCAGCCTTCAAAGATGAGCTACAGTCAGTCGCTGGCTTCGACCAGAGCAATGGTCAGAATCCCAGCACATCTACCCTCCGAGAGTCAGAGGTCCTGCATACCCCTCCAAGCCAAGGTCTGGAAGCGCTCAAGGACATAGTCTATGGATCAACAGCTGGAATACTGGGGAAATTTGTCGAATACCCTTTCGATACGGTCAAAGTTCGACTACAGTCTCAACCGCACGAGGCTGGCGCAGGCCCGCGGCTGCAAGGACCCCTCGATGCCTTCTCCGCTGCGTTTCGATCGCCTGAAGGGCCTGTTGTGTCTCTGTACAGGGGAATCAGTGCCCCCTTGCTCGGTGCTGCGATAGAGACATCCTCGTTGTTCTTCAGCTATCGAATCGCCCAGGATATCATTGTGGAGGCAACACCGTCACTGCGCGCGCAACGAGATCGAGATACTCACGGCAAGGTCGAACTCCCCTTCTCCTACCTCGTTGCTTGTGGTGCCACCTCAGGAGCATTTACGTCTCTCCTTCTTACACCGATCGAACTCATAAAATGCAAGATGCAAGTCCCATTGGCCCCGGGCAACCTCGCTTCAAAGCTGGGATACTCGACGACTCGGCCACCCGGCCCCATGCAGCTCATCACCACAATCTTTCGCACCCAAGGGCTGCTTGGTTTCTGGCATGGACAGCTAGGCACACTTATTCGCGAAACAGGCGGCTCGGCTGCGTGGTTCGGCTCCTATGAGGCTGTCAAAATGTTGTTCCTCCGCTCGGACCCTACTGTGAAGCAAGTATCAGATGTCAAAGTGTGGCAGCAGATGGTGGCGGGAGCAGCGGCAGGGATGTCTTACAACTTCGTATTCTACCCTGCCGACACGATCAAGTCACGCATGCAGACTTGCAGCACCGATATTGTCGCTGGACAGAACAAATTAACCTTTCTTTCCACTGGTCGAGACTTATGGCGAGAACAGGGACTCAAGGGATTCTATCGAGGCTGCGGCATCACGGTCTTCCGTGCGGCGCCAAGTTCAGCAATAATTTTCAGTATCTACGAAGCATTGCGAAAGTATTTCGGCTGATAGCATGGATGCGGCGAAACAGTCCGTCGCGGCATTCTTTCCCACCACAATGGCACTTTGCCAATGGTCGAGCAGTCAGCAAGACGGAGCTAGCGGACCAAAAGACGTGAGCATACCCATTTACTCTAAGAGCCAGGCGACATAGTTGCTTGACACACTATCGTCGTCAACCTTCATCAGCTTAGAGGGTATTAACACCACAACCAAAATTCCGATGTTATGATGGTAACGGTCCGCCACGAAGAGAAGGCGTTTTCTTTGGGCATCTAGCGAGCTTCGAGCGGAATGGGCCTCGACAGCACGATCAAAATCCATCTTGCGGCATTTTCAAAGCAAAAAGGTTCGAGAATGAACACAATCAGCATTCAATAGACATAGACCGGCGGAATTATGCATCAAGGCGGGTTTGGGTATATTCTGAAATGGATATCATATACCTCTGGAGCATTAAATATCCAACGGCGTTCATGTTCTTGCCGTGTCGTGTTGTATTGTCACTATGCATACGCTATTGACCTGTACAATCTTGTCCTCGTTACCTCTCGCGCAGATGACATCCCTTCGCGTCGCCTCGCTTGTCTCCATCCCGGTAGACCTCACGGAGAATGTTTGAGGTGAGACTGCCTCGACCCATGGAGAGGCGGGCTACGCGTGATAAGAAAGACCTTGTATATACCTGAGAGGCTTCTCAGTATAACAATTCGCCCAGGTCGATCGACCGGCACCGGCGTTGTTACGACGACTCGTCTGGATCGACATCTCGGAAAATGTCAATCTTTGGGAAACACTCCCACACGGGGTCGAAACTGGTGCCGATACAGGACGTGTAGGTCGTCGTCGTCGTGGAGGGAGGAGGAGGAAGAGGCTGAGAAGTCGGCTCGGAGGACGGAGGGGCCGCAATGATTGAGACGCCAGCTCGTTCCAGCTCGGCGCGACATTCGTAGACCAGCTCCTCTAGTCTTTCTAGGATCATGGCGTCCTTGTCCTGCCCGCCGGTGCTTCCAGGGTTTTGCTGTGGCAGCGGCAGCAATGATGTCAGGATGATGTTGTAGTAGACTATGTCTTTGACTTTGGAGCCGCGGTAGGGCAGGCGGCGGGTCATTGGTTCGACGGCATCTTTGGCTGCGTAGATCAGACTGTTCTGCGTGTACGAGGGCGTTCTGACGACGCCGTCGTTGGGGCCGTCCGGCGACAGTGCCGCAGGAGCTGGTGGCTGCGTGCTACTCGACCGACTGGCGGAGGAGCCGAGCTTCTCGATCTCGAGACAGAGCCCCAGGATGGCGTGGCCCAGTTCCTGTCGGTAGCAGGTGTAGAAAAAGTCCCAGTAGCCTTGCGGACGGGGTACGTTGAGCTCAGAGTACTGCGGATCGAACAGGTCTTGGTAGTTGGTGAGCATGAGGCAGCTCTGGAGGTAGCCGGTCCGCACTTCCCGCTCCAGCTCACATGTGTCGGGCGAAAGAATGCAGCGCGAGTACAGGTGCATCAGGGGTCGTCTGATGCTGATGTCAAGTTCCATCCGGGCCATCAGTCGAGAGGGGGTCTTGCTCGCCGCGTCACCCGTATAGTTGAAGCGCAATGGCGGGGGGAGATCTTGGAGCACTTTCTCCAGGTACCGAGTGTGCTGGAGGAGGTCTTGGATCTTGACATGGGTCGCGTCGTCGATTTGTTTGCAGGCCACAACCCGGCGCGGAAACGACTGCGCGAGGAGAAATTGACATAAACCATCGGTCCAATCCTGTGTTGGTCGTGATTGAGGCAGGGATTCCATACCCTCGAATATCTCATCATCATTGACATTTCGGGGCGGGTTGGAGGTGTATGGAGGCACCAGGCATGGCATCTTGCACAGAATCGACAGCATGAGGTCACACTCCACGATCGTCATCCATGTGCGGCGCCGCAGCTCTCCTTCGAAGACGGTAATCCCTGCTATGGTCGAGGGGTCTTGGTCCATCTTCATCACCAGGGCATCTCGAAGAAGTTCACCATTCAGGCGGAAAAGATCGTCCATCGGAACCAAATTCAGCCAGCTGCAAATGGAGAGAAGCATCTTGACCTGCAAAGCTGGTAACCGGTATCTCTCAGTATCCCGGAGACCTCGGAGGAAGTCCTTCATTAATTGCAGTGCATTGTCAGGTTTGATGGCCAGGCATGATCGAGCTGCTTCACATTCCCTATGGGTACCAAGAGTGACGGCGAGTGCCAGCACACCGACCAGCTGCGGAACAAAACCAAACCTGCATGCGTGCTCGCCCCTTGAAAAGTAGATGCGCAACTGATCTCTAAATTCGGGGAAATGCAGAATCCGAAAACAATGTTCCAGATTGTCGAAATAGAGAACGACCAGCCTTTCGCACACATCGAACGGCGGCAGTTGGAGAGAAGGCTCGCTGATTGAGGAAACTGACTGCGGCTGGGTGGTGTGTTGACCCTTGTTATTCTTCTCGACAGAGTAATGCAAATCTTTCAGTCCTCTTCGCAGCGCTGCCAGCCTGGGAGTGGTTGAATCATACTGCAGCCTGGTCATGAACGTGCAAGCGTCGTTGAACTATCAGAGTCAGATTTGAGTAACCCAGGAGGCATGGTCAAGGTTCTTGCACAAGGCCTCACCTGTGAGCTCATCTGACCAGGCCTGGTCGAGGACTTTTCAGTGTCGACAAAGCCGTCTGATGGAGGATGAATCCGCAGACTGTGGGTGACGGGCGGCTCGCCACTGCGGCTGGTGCTTTGAGCGAGCAAAGCCTGCTCGAGTCTGGACACGCGGTCCTGGAGATCCTCAATGATACCATGCCTCACCACAGGCGGCCCATTGTCAGAGAGACCAATTCGCGCAACATCGCTTCCCCCTCCGTCCACACTGGGCGCCGGATCTAGGCGCCGTCGCTTGTTCACGGTATCCAGGAATACTGGATGTTCGGAGTTTGGCTCCGGTTCTTGACCTGCCTGATATTCGCATCCACTAGGGCGTCCAATTTTGACACATTGCTGACAGGGATACGAACGAGAGCACCGTAGCTTTTTCCGTCTGCATTCCAGGCAAGAAATTACCGGTCTGGTCCGCTTGGACTGGGATGGATTCGCTGGACTTTGATCTGACATTTCTGCGCAGTCATGCTTGGAAGACGATTATGTTGTGGACGCTGGAGCTCTGATGTTGACGATCAAGGACCACCGCCGCGATTTCATCTGTCCATCTCTGTGTATGAGACCGAAAATGGGCTGGACTCTGGCAAGAAGGAGAATGAACGACGATGTTGACTATGTACCAGAAGAGATTCCGTGCTTGTGGTTGCTCGAGGATGAAAATCGACTGCGTCCAATGAGCAACAAGCATCTGACAACCTGCGCATCGCAACCTCGGCTGCGCCCTGTCATTCATCCATCGCCTCAATGGCTCTTTATCTGTCCTTTGCTGACTGCACGAGCTTCTTTTGAGATGTTATCTTGTGGGTGATTCAGTTCTGGCCAGAAATTGCATGTTCGATTTCCGCGGGAGCATCAAGACCGCTACGAACAACATCCGGCTTGTCGCTATTCGGCCCCGGCCGTGCATCTACACCAGATCTCACAGCCTCGGAACTCTACCTACGGTGCAACGGCTAAGCATGGACCCCAAATTCAAGAGGATCATCGAGCTCATCGAGTCGAAGAAGAAATCGTCGCATCCTTGGACACGACAGCAAAGATTCGACCAGCCCTACTTCTCCTTCTCGCCTGAGACTTCCTCATGGCAGCAGGTCACTCCGTCCAAGACGGCTTCAGGGGTGACAGGCTTGAGCAGATTCATGCTCTTGTCGTGGAACATCGACTTTATGCTGCCTTTCGCGGATGAGCGCATGCAGGCTGCTCTCAAGCACCTGCAATCTCATGTGGAGGACGCCCCACTGCCCAGCATCATCATGTTACAAGAGATGCTTGAAACCGATCTGGCACTACTTCAAACCCAGCCGTGGATTAGAGCCAACTACAACATAACCGATATAGACAACAAGTACTGGGAATCCGGGTACTATGGTACCTGCACGCTCGTTCCAAAGGTCTTGCCCATCGCTTCCGTCTTCCGTGTCCATTACGAGCAGACCGCCATGGAGAGGGACGGGTTGTTCGTCGATGTGACGTTTGCCAACGCCCAGATCATCCGCATCTGCAATACACATCTAGAGTCGTTGATTGCGGATCCACCGAAACGACCCCACCAGCTAGCAACGGCTGCCAAATGGATGCATGACCCAGAGGTAAGCGGCAGTGTGCTCGGCGGAGATCTCAACGCCATCCAGGACTTCGACAAGACACTCCATTCGGACAACAACCTCCAGGATGCATACCTGACACTTGGCGGAAAGGAGGATACCGACCAAGGATATACTTGGGGCCAGATGGCTCCGACTAAACTGAGGAACATGTTTGGCTGCAGTCGAATGGACAAATTGTTCTTCTGTGGAAAGCTGAGATGCGAGAAATTCGAGCGCATCGGTATGGGGGTCGAAGCCGAAGAAGAAAATGTCAGGAAGGCTTTGATCGACGAAGAAGGAATGGAGGCGGGCTGGGTCACTGATCATCTGGGCGTCAAAGCTGAATTCAGTGTTGGCGAGGTCTCAAGCTCTAAAATTTGAGGCTGCCACAGATTGTGGTTCAGGCTGCGACGACCCCTGAGCCCAGATGGGATTTCTCGATGACGCCTTCCATAATACTCCTCCCACTAATAATGCCAGTGGTGCAAATGACGATCTTCTTCCTCTGCCCCGACTCAACCAACTTGCGTCCGATGAATCTCAACGCTGCAATTTCCGTGAAGGTGATACCTCCCACAAACATGACAAAGATAGTCTTCCAATTGCCCGTGCCCGCAAGCGCAGCTTTCGCCCGCGATGCCTTCTCATCGGCAGGTTTCTGCGCAAGATTAAATGTTGGTCCCCTTGCAGACTTCAGCATGTCTTCGAAGCCCGTCCATCCTGTACTAGAAGACGTAAGGGGCAACGGCGACTTGTGTAGAGTTTGAAGATATTGTTTCTGTAAGATGCATTGCACAATGCGTATGCTCAGGGGAGCGTAGCCGGAATACACGTATGCAATATCTTCGGGGTCCTGTTCGTTGTACTCATCAACAATCAACCTCAGCTCCTTGCGGAGATAGCCATAGTTTGTTTTTGTGCCTTTTTCTGACGAGGGCCCTCCGCCACCGACTGGGAGGAGCAGAGCCGAGCTGGACGAGCGAGGCTGCAGAAGTTCCATGGCTTGCAGCTTATCTAAAGTTAGGAGATGCTGGAAGCCGTAGGCGTGCAAGATCTGCCGCCGAAAAGACTCCAAGTCCTTCGAGCGCAGACCCCCAGCTATTGCTGACTCGAGACAGAGAAGTCGGAGGACAGAAGATAAGGGAGTATCGCGGGCGATCAGCTCCTCGATAGTATCGTGTTGGTAGATTGGGTCTGTTCCCGCTGCGATATTCTGCTGTACTTCTAGCTCGCGGTTAAAGGCTTCGGAGCGAGTATACTTGCTCATGTCGTCTGCGAGATTAGTGTGAATAGCCAATGACTGGTGCTCCTGTTGGAAACCTGGTAGCTTGTTGACGAAGTCTCTCAACTCGTTGATGCCGCGAGCGGCATGGCGACCTTCGTAGTCTGATTCTAGTCGTCTCGCTATTTTGTTCAGATGAGGTCCAATCAGGGCGAAGTTGGAGGAGCGCAACTGTTCATACAGCGAGTCGGATGAGTCTAGCTGGATCCTGCGTTTGAGACCTTGACGGACGGCAGGGGCCGGAGATGTCGAGGAAGAATCAATCTGTGATCGCTGCTGAGGAGCTGCGCCGATAATGGCCGAGTCCACTTCCGCACGATTGTGCTTTATACCGACCAGTTCATCAATCAAGCCTTCGTAGGTCAGTTGGGTCAACAAGACAGTGGCGAAATCGACCTCTCGATCGATTATGATCAGCTGCTCGATTGAGGTGCTCGGCATGGTGGTGTACTGGGTCGCGGCTTCGTCCGCGTCAAGCTCCTTTCGTCCTCGGAGGAGGAGGTTTGCAAGCTTTTTGGCGTTATCTCCTTTGCCCAAAATCCGTGGAAACAAACCATGTCGTTGTTGAATCTGCATCAAGGCTTTCGAGGCCAGGTACAGAGGGGAAGGATCGCGTCGCTGTGACACTGTGAGAAACAAAAGGATTGTCCTGTCGGAACATGGGGACATACTAGGTATAAATCATTAAATGCGTCCTCCATCTCCAGTGAGAACATGTCGTCTTCCAAGGGGAGGAAGTATATGGGAAGCTCCGACACATTGACATCCCCCAGTATGCCCTCGTCCTCTAGGATTCTGTTCGACACCAGAGTCCTTCTCGGCACCCAGCACACGGAGATTTCGTGCTCGACAGATCCATTTCTCTGGAGCTTCTTGATTTGCTCTGTTTTACATGGTGTCAGCAGGTGCCGTTATCCTCTGTCACAAGATCGAATGAAGAGGATTTTTCAATAGAGGCAATGCGATTATGGTTTAAACCGTGTCGATATTGGGAGCTAGACTGACAGCAAGGCACAGAGGAAATGATCCACGCAGTCTCCTTGTAAGTCCCGTAGGTAGAAATGGCAGACACTTCAAGACGCACCTGCGACAGCCTGGACCAGGCTGGCCTTCTCTCCATGAACAAGATAGACGACGTTCCTCTGTGAAGAGTCGGTGTTGCCATTTTCGAGCTCGAAGACTTTGTCCACACCATACTCCTTGAGCGTCGGGAATTGAATGAACAGGCTAAGCAGTCCAGTAAGATCCTTTCCTATGACCAAGTTCTTCTTGCCGCGGACCTGATGCAGAGTTAGTATGGACAAGGACAACGACGAACGGTAGCTTCCTTACTCACGCCTTCAAGCAATCCGAGGAGCTCCTTTCTGGCTTTGTTCCGGAGATGCTCCGCCTCTTTGTCTATGTTGGGGGCCATTGGCCTTTCTTAGAATCTGTGCATTATCTCATGGCTGGTAACAAGTTCTTGCAATCTGCTCAGCTGGGCTAAGATCATATTGATGAGTTTCATGAGACGCGCTTTACTCGGAAAAGGGTTTGAGCTGGGGACAAACCAGCCAAGACCCTGAGGGGGACAACGCAATTCTATTGGACGAGGCACCCCGCCGGCGCAGTGAGACCAGAATCCGTGGGCTACTGCGGTTTAGTTGGATTTGGGGTCGAGACCGCCATCCATCTGAGGGAGGGTGCACTGCCCATCCTGCCACGTCCGCCTGTTTCAGCTCAAGATCCTATATCAGCCTCAGAAAGACTCTGCGTATTGTCCTCTCCTTATTAAGGGTCTCCGTCCGCTGATTCATTTCTACACCTCTTTGCCTCTCGTTTCTCGCTCTTCCTGGTTACTCGACATTCCACAGACATGGGTAAATTCAGCCTTCGCAATGGCGACGACGACGATGATTCCAGCAGACTTGCCCTGTTCGGCTCCAGATCCAAGAGCAAATCTCCTGCCCCTTCCCAGAACCCTTATGCCTCCACAAACCCCTATGCACAGCCAGCCATTCCTCCGGATCCCTACACAAAGGCTAAGATGAGCGCTGGAGTTATACCTCCCTCAGGTCAAGGAGCCCCCTCAGGCTCTGGTAAGCCCAGTGGCTTGCCCGGTCCTGGTCAACAGCGGCCACCATATGGAAGGGATAACGCATACGGCAATCAGTCATCAGGTAGTTTTGGAGGAGACAATAAATACGGTCCTGCCCAAGGCGGGTATGGGGGAGGTAGTGGTTATGGGGCAGACAAATTCGGGAACCAGAACGGTTATGGAGGCGGTGCCCCTGGTGGCAACCCATACGCAAGCATTCAACAGCCTAGTGGAACCTCACGGCAGGGGGGGTATGGAGGGTTGGGTTCCTCCTCTCTCTACGACAACGACAACAACCGCGATGAGTTGTTCGGCGGAGCACGAGAAAGGCTGGAACAGAAGCAGCAAAATCCAAACAGTGGCCCTCCTGAGTATGAATACAACTCTGGTGGTGCTGATGCTGGTGACCGCAGCTTCGGAGCATATGGTGACCGTCAATTGACCGCAGAGGAAGAGGAGGAAGAGGATATCAATGCTCTCAAACAAGACATCAAGTTCATGAAACAACAAGATGTGGCATCTACCAGAAACGCCCTTCGGATTGCTGCTCAAGCTGAGGAGATGGGGCGGAATACTCTGGCTAGACTCGGTGCACAAGGTGAGAGAATGCACAACACAGATCGGAATCTTGATCTCGGCAACAACTATATCAACATCGCCGAGGACAAGACCAAAGAGCTCAAGACATTGAACCGGAGCATGTTTGCAGTCCATGTCAACAATCCCTTTACAGCCAAGGACAGACGTGCGCGCCGGGATGAACAGATCATGGACCGGCATCATGCTGAAAGAGAGGCACGTGAGGCTACCCGAGAGGCTGCTTTCAGAAGCACCCAACGTATGAATCAAAATTTCAAGGGTTTGGACGATGCTTCAGCGGTTGGTACGACGAAAACAAATCTAGCTGAAAGGGCCAAGTACCAATTCGAGGCCGACAGCGAGGATGAGGGCATGGAGAATGAGATCGACCGGAACCTGGATGAGCTCTCCGGGGCGGCCAAACGTCTTAATCTCCTCGCTCGAGCCACAGGAGAAGAAGTCGAGGCCCAGAATACCCTAATCACCACCATTGCAGAGAAGGTGCGTTTGTCCCTTGATCCCACGCCTGACCCCATTTCGCTGACCCTGCCACAGAGTGACCGTTTCGACGATCGTCTTCATTTCCAGACCGAAAAGCTCAAGAGGATACGTTAGAGCAGAGTCCCTATTTCTTCTCACATGGAGCGGAGGTTATTAAAACGGCGCTGTTGAATCTTGCCCTCTTTATAGACGTCGTTGGATGCTTTCAGCCTTGTCTGTCATTCTTATGGGGCAATGGGTAACAGCCTCGTCGATCGTGATCGTCAGATCAGCCTCGGGCCGCGATTGATACCCATGTCTACCTCTCGCAAAAGATCTCTGAAGGGTCCAGCACGTGTTGCAGATGCGATGACTTGAAGATCAGTTGTCTTCATGGAAACCTCACCAAAAAGGGTGGATTGATCAGCTTTTTCCTCAAAGTATCAATCGGCTGTATCTTTCGCCTCATACGCGATTGCATTTTGCTGGGAGCGTGGAAAGGCAGAACCTGGGTCAACCAAGTGGACTACCCGCGGATAGAGTAGCCATGTTGGCAGAAATCCACTCGCACCTCCTGGGCACGCTCACATACCTTGTTGGCACCCCTTTGGGTCGAGCCTGTCTCCGAAGATCACAGTCGAGTTCTCGTTCTACTGGTTATCTGAAGCTTGGCTTTGTTGACCTTGAGGTGCTAGCTAAACTCGTGTACGTGAACTTTTCGAGCACGCTTGATCTCCTTTCTTCGAATGTTCTTTGCGCTATTGCTGAGTCCTGCGTAAGGCTCGCTACATGAGACATGCCGCAAGGCTCTAGTTATGCTCCATAGTCGACGCGTTCGAAACCAGGGGCTCAATTTCCCTTGGACACCCTGGTCGGATGGAATTGTCTCATTTATTGATTCGGAAAATAAATTTGGTAAGCGCTTGAGACACTAGAGAAAGCGAGGACGTAGCGCA